CTCTACTTCACCACTCCACTTTGAATCTCAAGAAATACAACAGCCTGTAAGGTTTTCTTATTTTTTACTTCTAATTTTGTATTTTTCTCTCTATTTCCTTCGCTTGCCTTTAATTGCCTTAATTATCGCTGTATTAATGATTAAAAATTTTGACTCAACTTTTACTAGGATCGAGTATAAAATTTTCTGTAGTAAATGATGGGTCTTTATCTCTTAATAAAGGCGTTTTTAAGGTTTAGAACACAATGTGGCTAATTGCCTTGGTATCTACCCATATTAGCATTCTTGATTTGAGCAATTAGTTATGATAATCTACCTGGGTAACAATAATGTGGGTAAATTGAAGTACACAATGTGGGTCGTAGGTTGTCTCTATCTTCAACAGAAGCACGAGTTTAAGGATGCCAAAAGTAGCGTAGGTAGTTAGTCGGCTGTAAATATATATATATGTGCCCACACGTATATAGTCCCACACGGAAAGAACTGCATGTGACCATCTGGTAATACTAGCTGTATTAGGCAATTCCCGAGGAAGAACGGGAAAAAGTGAAGGGGAGCGAGACTCCTTTCTGTTTACAAATCTGTTCTTTTCTTGGTGAGTTTGGCCAGGCAAAGAAAATTCGTTACAATCATGTATACCATATATTACTATACTCCAATAACTCATATTGTTAGTATTAGTACACAATTAACTGTATATTTTGTTGTACCAACTACCAATGCTATACTATTGACCAACTAGTAACTATGTTCAATAGACAGTATTTGAGAGAAGATTGAGATCAATGCAATGTTCGAACCATTATGCCCAAAGTGGGCAGATTCCTTGTACACATTTGGCACTGTCTGCACAATAGAATGTACTATTGATACCGTGTTAATTGTGTCTAACAGGATATACAAAAGGAAGAAAATTTGAATATCTCATCGAGTATACCCAGCATAATTTCATCATCCAACGAAACCGGGACTCCTCTACAAGTAACAATCAAAAGGAAGTTCAGGAATCTGGAAAGGCTGGAAGCTAATCTGGGAAAAGCTAGAGCTGCAATAAGAGCAGCTGTTCATGGGATAAACCAAACAGACGACCATGACTATGTTCCCACTGGCCCGGTCTACTGGAATGCAAATGTTTTCCACAGGTTATATATCATCCACTAAATTAAAACAACGTTGTACTGAGATATATATACTTCAATTTACTTAACGTTGTTTCCAGTGTTTGTCTGATCTGATCTCGTAATGGAAAAGCAGGAGTTACTTGGAAATGGAGAAGCAGTTCAAGATATTTGTGTATGAAGAGGGAGAACCCCCGGTTTTTCACAACGGGCCTTGCAAAAGCATTTATGCAAGTGAAGGCAACTTCATTTACCATATGGAGACTTCGCCATTTCGCACGAGAGATCCAGAGAAAGCCCACGTTTTCTTCCTTCCAATCAGTATAACAGCAATAGTGCACTTTGTTTATGACAGAAGTGTGCACAACAAAGAACATTGGCTTCCGATGAAACAGACAGTCAGCGATTACATTAATCTTGTTGCTGGAAAGTATGCTTACTGGAATCGAAGCCTCGGAGCTGATCATTTCATGCTTGCATGCCATGATTGGGTAAGTATATATATATCACAACTTCATCAATAGCCACTACTGGAAATTATTGAATTTCCGACCACCTGAAAGTAATCTTAAATCAAGTCAAAAGCAAAAAGTGGTCGGAAATAGCAACATAACAAAGGTTTTTCCGGATACCAAAAGTGGCCGGAACAAGGCTTTCGACTTGATCTAAAATCACTTTCAGGTGGTCAGAAATTCCATAATTTCCAGTAGTGAGCTTGCAATTCAACCGACCAATTTAATTCTGGAAAGATTGTTGCAGGGGCCTGAGATTTCCAAGGCTGTTCCTGAGCTATTCAAGAACTCGATCCGAGCATTGTGCAATGCGAATACCTCAGAAGGGTTTAAGCCGTCTAAGGATGTCTCGATCCCCGAGATCCTTCTTCCCGGAGGTACAATGCACGGCCTGATCGGCGGCCCCTCGCCATCACGCCGCTCAATCCTGGCTTTCTTTGCCGGAGGGCTTCACGGTCCCATAAGGCCAATCCTCCTAGAGCATTGGGAGAACAAAGACAACGACGTTCAAGTTCATAGGTACCTCCCCAAGGGCATCTCGTACTATGAAATGCTGAGGAAGACCAAGTTCTGCATATGTCCCAGTGGGTACGAGGTTGCCAGTCCAAGAATGGTGGAAGCTCTTTACACAGGCTGTGTCCCTGTGCTCATCAAGGACCACTACGTCGCGCCTTTCAGCGACGTCTTGAACTGGAAGTCGTTCTCCGTCGAAGTCCCGGTGGAGGACATCCCAAACCTGAAGAAAATCCTCACCGGAATATCGCAGAGAAGGTACATAAGATTGCAGAGAAGAGGGTTGATAGCCAGACGACATTTCGAGGTGAATTTGCCTCCGAAGAGGTACGATGTTACTCACATGATTCTTCACTCTGCGTGGCTTAGGCGATTGAATGTCCGGCTTCATGGCATTGAAGATACTTGAGAATTGAAATGACTACATATATATAGATATATAGAGTGCTTTGCTTTCTTGTGTACGTTTACTGTGCAGGGAAAAATGGAAAATGGAATATATGTTAGTTGGTTCGATCATGTCTACGTATGTAGTATCTGTGTTCCATATATTTGTTGGGGTAAGTAGTATTTGTTTTGTCAAAGGAAAAAAGGTGTAACTTATGCTGGCTGTCTTCAGTGCTTTGTATACTCCATGGCGATTTGTCATCTCATTCAATAAACTCGAGCATAATTCAGTTGGTTGATAACACGGAACAAAAGTTATTGTGTGTCAAAGTTTCATCTTTTCCAACTTCCTATATTTGATCATTAATTTCTCATTTTTCGGTAACAAAGTTAGTTTATCGGGCAATTTTAACTTATTTGACTATTATTAACTATTTGATCAATATAAATGTTTGATTAATTAGTTTTGTGTAATAACTTATATTATTGTTCAAAAAGCTAAAATTTAAAAATATATATATTGGTTCTCTTCGGTAACAAAGTTAGTTTATCAGGTAATTTTAACTTATTTGACCATTATTAATTGTTTGACCAATATAAATGTTTGATTAATTAGTTTTTTTGTAATAACTTATATTATTGTTTAAAAATGTTAAAATTTAAAAAGTTATTCAAAGTAACTTTTTCGATCAGTTTTTTAAGTCATTTTTGTATGTAATCATCTATAATATAATAGTTAATTCACCAAACACTTTTTTACAATCAGCTAATGTTATCAACTATATTTAAACCCACTAACTCAATCAGCTAACAACTATTTACCAAACACCCCAATATATTGTTTTTGACAATTATAATTAAACCCATTAATTTAATCAACTAGCAACTATCATCTAACAACTATTGTTCTCAAAAAAAAAAAAATCTAACAACTATTTATCAATTATTTTTGTGTCAAAATTCAAGAACAATAAACCCTAAAAAATTACCTCCATCAATACTTTAATTAGAGTTTAGTCCGTGAAGCTCTACTGCTCTAGGGCCTAGGGGGCAGGGGCTAAGGTGTAATTATATTAATAAAGAAATATTTTAGTGTTTTAGTCAAAACCGTGCGGAGTATTTAGTACAGTATGAAATCGTATGTAAGATGTGGTCCAGTTTTCGTGTGTTGTTCCCAAATTCCCAAGTGGCTGCTGGCATGTATGCCAACTGCCCTGCCAAGTAGCTGCCCATGGCGTCAAAGCTTTTGTAACGTTACTTTGGAAGTTAAAAACTAATCTAAAAACAATTCTTACTAATTCTATATAGGGATGGCAATGGGGCGGGGCGGGGGCAGGAGTATACACCCCGTCCCCATTCCCGCTACCTCGTCCCCATTCTCATTCCCGTCTCCGTCCCCGGCGGGGATTTGGAAATATTCCACGTCCCCGTCTCCGCGGGGAATTAGGCGGGGACGGGGATTCTCCATTCCCCGTCAATTTCGAGTCAAAATGTTAAATAATTATAATTTTTAATAATAAAAATTTTAAAAACTAAATAATAATTTCAAAAATTAAAATGCTAAGTGTATATATATATATATATATATATATATATATATATATATATATATATATATAGTATGCTGCATGTATATGTTGTATAGTGCATTACTGGTATAATATACTACATGTATATGTTGTATACTTGTATAGTGCATTACGGCCAGTAGCAACATTGTGTTAATTATATATATAGTTCATTACATATATAAATGGGATGTATATTACAGTGCATTACTGCTAGTGGCGACATTATGTTAATTATATATATATATATATATATATATATATATATATATATATATATATATAGTTCATTACATAATTATATGCCAGTATATATACATATAATTATTCGAGGGCGGGGCGAGGATGGGTATCCCCGTCCCCGTCCCCGTTTCCGACGGGGAATCACACATATTCCCCGTCCCCATCCCCATTTCCCGAAAATTTTTCCCATCCCCGTATTCATCGGGGCGGGGATCGGAGATCCCCGTCGGGGACGGGGCACATTGCCATCCCTAATTCTATATGAATATATATATATGATGACAATCCCTCCTCATTGACTAGCTACACCTACCAAGACCAATTTTAAATATGAGTTTTAATTAATTATTTTACTAAATTTTATGCCTAGCTAGCTTAGTTTAATGGACTATAATTGGATTAATTTTGATTCTTTTATTTACAAAAAAAAAAAAAAAAAAAAGTTTATAAGTGGGTATGATCGAGCTCGCACATAGCTCAGTTGGTTTTTAGTTGACTGATTGTAAGCAAGGAGGTAGGATTTTGGTAACAGCAGGGTTGTTTTTTGTGACCACCTGGTCCACCTAATGGACTATTGAATCATCGTGATTTATCCCAATCTTATATACCCGCGGGAGTATGGGATTCTGGGGCAAGAGATTTTACATTTTGTGGGCAAGTTTAATAAAATGGAATGGATAAATAACATTAAGACATTGATCATTTTTCCCTAAGAATGTATACAATGTAACAAGAAATGCAGATCATCATGATGGTCCTTGTGTGTCATGAACTTGAATGTTGAGTCTTCTGAGCCAGATGGAATGAAGAATCATGTGAAAAACATCGTACCGTTTCGGGGGAAAGTTCACTTCAAAATGCTTCCTAACTTGAATGCCCCTCCTCTGCATCCTTATATATTTCCTCTGAGGTATACTCAACAGAATCTTCTTCAGATTCGGAATCTCCTTCACCGGAATATCCACCGCAAACGTGTCCCAATTCAAGACATCCGCGAACGGCTTCGCGTAATGGTCTTTTATCAGCACAGGAACACATCCCATATACAGCGCCTCCACCATCCTCGGACTAGCAACCTCGTACCCGCTGGGACAGATGCAGTACTTGCTCTTTCGGATCATCCCATAATACGACACTTTCTTGGGGAGATACTCGTGGATCTCCACTTCTGGATCCTTGTTTTCCCAGGTCTCCATCAGCACTTGTCTGATGTAGCCGTGGATTCCTCCGGCGTAAAACACCAGCACGGAGCGCTTCGACGGCGACGGCCCTCCGATCAGGCCGTCCATGTTTCCTTGTGGAAGATAGATTTCCGGCAACGACACGTCTTTGGAAGGCTTGAATCCTTCCGATGTATTCGCGTTACACAACACCCTTATCGAGTTCTTGAACAGCTTTGGAATGGCATAGGAAATTGTCGGAGCCTACAATAATCAATTTAATTTCCACGTAAATCTCGTACCCACAAAAAACCATAATTTTCTTGTCCTGTCCCCAAACAGGATAACGAATAAGATGTTGTTAAGGTCTATATATACATACCCAATCATGACAGGCGAGCATGAAATGGTCATATCCGAGGCTTCGGTTCCAATAAGGATGTTTTCTAGAGATTCCATCTACGTAGTCGAGAGCCGTGTTTTGCATTGGCCGCCATAGATGAGATTCGCGCACAAAGACGTTGTGAACAATTGAATACACACTGAATGGGAGGAAAAAGACGTGAGCTTTTTCTGGATCTTTGGTGATAAATTTGCTGATCTCAAGCTGATGAATGAGGATTCCTTCAATCCCCAGAATTCCCAGACTGGAGCTGTAATGAAACACCGGCGGCTCACCTTCTTCATAAATGAATATTCTGAACCGTTTTTCCATCTCCAAATAGCTCCTGGAATCATTACCAAAAACACAAAATGTTCTGTCTTTTTCAACTAACCATTCTTGCAGTGATATCAAATGACTATTTGAGTAAAGAAATTAAGTTGTCCCCATCAGTAGCTCGATTGGTTTCTGGATAGCAGATTGTTGGGGCAAGAATTTCGTCTGGTTATATTTGAACTATAGTGTCTGGTTATATTTGAACTAAAATGTGGTCAATTTTTTCATAATTCTTGGGACAAGAATTTCGTCTTTTGTAGACAAGTAAAATAATAAAGCTGGGATAATATTACCTGTGAAATGTCCTGGGATTCCTGTAGATCGGACCACTAGGAACATAGTCAGGTTCCTCAAACATTTGATTCCCGGTTTTGGCTTCTCTAATTGCAGCTCTAACTCGTGAGAGACCGGCTTCAACCCTCTCCAAATTGCTCAACTTTTTCAGTACATTGGCAGTTTCCGAAACCTTATGGGAGTTCTGCAGGCTACTGTTTGTAGAAGTTGAAACTTCAGGCTCCTTTCTGGTTATATCCAGGTTGTCTTCCTCCTTAATACCCCACAAAATTAAGGAAAATTTGAGAATTTTAACCATATCCACAACATAAAATAATCGAAATACGAAGTTTCACAAAAGAAATGGAGTCTTACTGGCTTTTGAGGCTCTGCAGCTTCCATGGAAGAGTTACCAAGGTCAGAAGTGGTTGAAACATTTGATGCAGAGGGCAGAGAAAAACCCAGCCCTGTCTGGTTTTCATGAGAAATTGAGAAATCAGAACCGCTAAAATTGTGACCGGCAAGAGACCCATACACCAAGATCAACGGCAGTACGATAATACACGAAACTTTTGTGGAAGACGATGATGTTTCCCACCATGAAGAAACTCTGTTCCAAATATCCATTATTTTTATTTTCTTCTCTCTGGTTAACTCATTTCCCTTGGACACTGCAAATTCGGAGAAAATTAAAACTTCCTGTCTTAATCAGAAAGGTTTGTGTGTACTTTCTAGAAATGAATTTTATTTTGGCTTTTCTGGTAAGGAATCTTGGCATTGATTGATGAGTTGAAAACAGAACGAAGTTTTGGAAGCTATTGCAAATCTACTTCTCTTGTTAATTGTTTTCCTCCTGTCTTATAGAATAAACTGAGCAGTAAAAGAAAATTGTTGAAAACTATCATATGATTAATTTAAGAACTGAAGAAGATAATCCGGGAGGGTATACTCCCAAGTAAGACGTACAGACTAAGAGCTAATGTCCCTAGGCAGAGTATGGGCCAACTGGTGGTGAACGAGGAACAAAATCACAAATAACATTCTGAAAAGAATCAAATAAAAGAGTCACAAAAAAAAAAAAAAAAAAAAAAAAGGTCACCGCTTCGTTTGGGTATGGCCACTATGACATTGAGACAGTAATATTTCAAACAGATTTTGTGGTGATTCAGGTTCTTTAGTTAGGATACCGCCTCTTTGCGAGCAATAACTTCGGCTAAATGTGGGTCATGAGCACAACTAATGGGGCCACTGGTGACAACTTTGAAACAATCTTCCTCATCGAAAAGAATCGCCCCGAAGCTAGTTGTCCTTGTAATGTGAAATATATTACTTTGTTGTATGATTTATTAATTAATAGAAACTAATTTCTCTAATTGTGTCTTTATTCTTGGATGAAAGACATTATTTAGTCATGAATATGTTTGTACCTGTGGTTAGGTATGGGAGATGGGAAATATGATATTATGACATGCTTTTGATCCTTTTGGATATATTTGCATGTATATGCATATATTTTAATTCTTTTTTTTTTTTTTTTGAAAATGCATATATTTTAATTCAATTCTCTCATGAATATATTTTTGAAAGAGTAATATATACTACACACTTTCATTTTTTACTCTTTTTTGTATAACTTAGAATTTCTGATTTTGCCAATTTACTCCATTTGTATTCTGTATTGATGTGGTAGCATTACTGATTTAGAAAAGGAAATGGATCACAAACAGTTTTAAAAGTATTTTTCTTATTATCCTCAAATAAAATCTTGACATAAATGGTTGAAAATAGCTAGCCTTTATTTTTCTGTTTTCTACCATTGTTGAGAGGGGAAATGGAGAAGAAGATGAAATGGAAAAGATCATCCACAAGCAGGGGCAGATCCACCATGGGCAGCTGCCCTCCCTCTCCCCACCTCCACCCCATATATAACCATTGTATGTATATATGTATATATAGTACAAGTTTTGTTATAAGTATAACAAAATAGATAAAAGTTAACAAGAGATGATTAGATCAAGTATCAAGGCATGTGTCTTATTTTTGTAGTGGCTAAGATTCAAATCCTGAGAGGTTAGCGTTCGAATGCAATGTATGTGTTAACACAATTTATTTATGACTTTTAAATATTAATTAATTGTGAGATTTACACACATCTATATAACTTTCTTTTATTTGAGATGTGTCTAAATGTGTTTTTTATTCGAATTATTTTATCAAACTAATTATGTTTCATATTTTGTTATTAATATTTTTATAAAGCTTTGATGTGTTTTATTTTTCGTCCACATCCAACAATATTTATGGCTATACTTTTAAGTGTTTTATTTTTTATCAAACTATCTCTTTTGTTTTAATGCATTTCGCCCCAGCTGAAAAAGTTTTCTGGATCCGCCAGTGTCCACAAGTGCCAAATTATTCTCCCTTTTTGTAATGAAATATGTCATTTCAACACGGTGTTGTCCTGAAAGGAGTGGTGAAATGGGGAAACATGATTATTATACTTAGATAATCATGGAATTCAATTTTTGTCAACACTCTTTTGATCAATCAAGTCACACAGAGTCTTTATAGTGTAATTTAATAATTTATATTTCAGTGTGATTTACGAGCTATTGCATACAAGTGACATTTATCCATTCAATACATACCCTTAGGTAGTGATTATTGCCTAGTTTTTCCTCGTCACCTAAAAAAATCAATGGTGTTAGCACTTAGCATATCAAGTACTCCAAGTAATTAAACAGCTCCCAAACAATAGTCCAGTTGTTATATTATAGACCGCGGTGCATAATTGATTATGCACCGCGGCCCATATACGGCGCCGTTTCTTTAAGTAAAGAAACGGCCCGCCGTTAGAGTTAACGGAGTCCGTTTGTTTGGTGTATTAAACACCAACTGACACTACAGTATATCCAAACCGACAGTGCAGTTATATCAAAATGATACTATAGTTATAGTGAAATGAAACTGCAGTGTATATAAACTGAAACTGAATAACATTTCACATATTTGCGTGTATATTGTACAATGAAGCTGTAATTATATCAAAATGATCATGTAGTTGTGTTTTAATAAAACTATAGTGTATATAAAATAAAATTAAATAACATTTTCACATATTTGAGTCTATAAATATCGAATGAAACTATAGTTATATCGAAATGAAACTGTAGTTGTGTTCAACTGAAACTGCAGTGTATACAAAATGACACTGAATAAGAGAGTTACTTTTTACAAAAAGGTGCGAAACGACGAAAATAAACACTGTTAATTTTCATTTAAAAAAAAAAAAGACGCGCGGTGCATAATCGATTATGCACCGTGGTGCATAATATAATTTGCCACAATAGTCCTACCAAGTTGTTTAATCTGTTTTTTTCGAGTTGTCTACAACCTTATTCTCTTTTATTTCTTGGACTATTTAATTTTTAACAAGCCAAACCCAATGGGCTTAGCCCATTGATACATATGTTACTCTAAAGTCTAAAATGAGAGATTTTATGTCATCTGATAGCATAGGTCGGGCCCAAACCTATATATGTAATTTCAACAAATCAACAAAATGAATAAACCCATAAAATAAAACATAAAATTTCTTGTGGTGTTGTCGGCTGTGTTGTTTTGCTCTCACTCCTGGCCAGTTTTCTCTTTTATTATGAACTTTGTTCATTCAACTTCTTTTACTATATTTGTGGATAAGAGAACCCCCCAAAATGGTAATTCAAGTGTACATTTTGAGTGAAATTGGTATTGTAACTCTAATCATAAAGAATCACATATTAAAAAAGTAAATTAGTAAGGTTTTTGATAACTTCACTACTGGAAATTCTGAAATTTCCGACCACCTGAAAATGATCTTAAATTAAGTTGATACTAAAAAGTTCAAAAAGTGGTCGGAAATAGCAACAAAGGTTTTTCCGGATACCAAAAGTGGTCGGAACAAGACTTTCTACTTGATTTAAGATCATTTTCAGGTGGTCGGAAATTTCAGAATTTCCAGTAGTGCTTATTGATTCAAATCAAGAAGATTATTAAGTTGTTCCGTTTAAAAGGAGAAGGCTAATAAGTTGGCCATATTGAGAAGGCCAATAGACAATTTGAATAGGGAGTTGAATTTGACTAATCAACTTGACAATGTTGCCCAAAGCTCCCAAAACTTGAGTGGCAAGATTAAGTGGTTTATTGTATGTAAACTTACTCAGAAAAGGCAAAACTGAAATCACATCAAAAAAGAAAGAAAGAAAAAAATCTACCCAAAACGTGCTGATTAAGACGGGAGTTTTCCTCTCAAACTGGCACTGCCAAAGTGAAGATCGATCAGAAGAGTAAACCAGAGATCAGAGAAGATAGAGCACATACTCAAAAACATAGTACTACGTAAAAGGAACAAAAATGGAGTTAAGGAACAGAATGTTTGCACGGTGGGGATCTTCCTCAGGAGTTCTGTGCATAATCGCAGTGCCGTTGATTTTGGTGTCAGCGTTTTATGCCCTTCACAGTTCTAGCGGTTTTGAATCAGTTTTTTCCTCTGAAACCCATCCATGGCTGCGGGGTTTTTCTATGCCCTTTTATCAACTACCCTCTTCTCATCCGGTATCCCCCATCTTTTCCATGTCAATTTTATCATAAGTTTTCTCATGAAATATACTTGTTTTTATGAGTATATTTTACCATATTTTTTTGCCATTAACATGCATATGATTAAATTTCTCAAACTTAATTTTGCTAATTTTTTTGGTGGATTTAGGATGCAATGAAAAAGTTAACCAATTTAGAGAGAGTTGAAGCTGGTCTGGCACGAGTTAGAGCTGCAATCAGACAAGCTCAAACTGAAAATCGAATTCTGGAAGACCCGGACTATGTTCCTCATGGTCCAATTTATCGGAATCCCCACGCATTTCACAGGTAATTCTGTCTCGTTAAAAGTCTAAATTGATAGTTTCTTATGCCACAGTTCTTTAGCGTTGCATTATTGGAAGATGAATGGATTTTGGTGATAAAATTGAGGTGTTTTTTTCATTGGTTTCAGGAGCTACCTGGAAATGGAAAAACGGTTCAAGATATTCATATATGAAGAAGGTGAACCGCCGGTGTTTCATTACAGTTTCAGTCAGGGAATTCTGGGCATTGAAGGAATCCTCATTCATCAGCTTGAGATCAGCAAATTTCGTACCAAAAACCCAGAAAAAGCTCATGTCTTTTTCCTCCCCTTCAGTTCCTATTCACTCGTTCACTTTGTCTTCGTACGTGACGCCCATGAATGGCCGCCTATACAAAAAACCGCTAGAGACTACATAAATGGCATCTCTACAAAGTACCCATACTGGAACCGAAGCCTCGGCTATGATCATTTCATGCTCGCTTGTCACGATTGGGTATTAACCTATGAACCTTAAAAACATCCTATTTTTGTTGTCTCTGATCTATCTAAGAGTGTGTATTAGGTAAACCCGTCTCCCTAGGCTGTAGCCTAGATTGTGCGTTATAGTTGAGTGACTCAAACTAAGAATGATTAAGGTTGTATTATGTGTCTGATTTTGTTAACTAGGTTTATTTACGGGATTGCAGGCGCCGACAATTTCCCACGGCACTCCGAAACTATTCAAGAACTCGATCAGGGTGATGTGTAACGCGAATACATCGGAAGGGTTCAAGCCTGCAATAGACGTGTCGTTGCCGGAGATCTATCTTCCTCAAGGAAACATGGACGGGTTGATCGGAGGGCCGCCACCGTCGAACCGTTCCGTGCTGGTGTTTTACGCCGGAGGGATTCACGGCTACATCCGACAAGTGATGATGGAGACGTGGGAAAACAAGGATCCGGAAGTGGAGATTCACGAGTATCTTCCGAAGAACGTGTCGTATTATGGGATGGTCCGAAAGAGCAAATACTGCATCTGTCCCAGTGGGTACGAGGTTGCTAGTCCGAGGATGGTGGAGGCGATGTACATGGGATGCGTTCCCGTGCTGATAAAGGACCATTACGCGAAGCCGTTCGCGGATGTCTTGGACTGGGACACGTTTGCGGTGGATATTCCGGTGAAGGAGATTCCGAATCTTAAGAAGATTCTGTTGAGTATACCTCAGGAGAAATATTTGAGCATGCAGGAGAAGGGGATTCAAGTTAGGAGACATTTTGAAGTGAACTTTCCTCCGAAACGGTACGATGTATTTCACATGGTTCTTCATTCGATTTGGCTTAGAAGACTCAACATTGAAGTTCACGACATCCAAGAAACATCATGACATTCGAAGTTAATTAATCCAATTGAATTTGAGTTGAATCCTATTTGAATAATTAAAGTAATTCTCGCAAGAGTGTTGCTGCAATGATGTAATATGTTATGTAATCATTTTGAATTTGTTTATATGTGATTGTTGGTTGTCTAAGTATTGTTATGTAATAATCATTCTTGCATTGGTTTTTTTCTTGATAAGATTATTATTAAATTAAAGTTAGAAAGTTTCCATAATGCATATGTTATAATATATTATATTTAGATTAGATATGGTGATGTGAGTTAGGTCAATATGGGTTAATTTAAAGCAAATTATTATGTGGACTCAGGTCCAAATGTTCACTGTTTACATATTAAATGTTCATAATTTACTTTTTAAAAACTCACAATTTGTATACTACGAACACACAATGTTAACATATATATAATTGATTACCTTGTTTTGTATTCACAAGTTCCTTTCAAATATTACAGTCACACAATATTAACAAATTATGATTTGATGATCATGTATTGTATTTACAAATTTTCTTCTACATTTGTTATGTGTTTTGACTTAAAAACGCAATTTATATTCTAAAAGTTCACAATTCCAATACTAAAAATACATAATTTATACGTCATTTAGGACCAATATCCATCTTGATGGACCCTTGTCCATGTTATAACAACTCTTAATCTAAGCACATTTCGATCAAGTGGTTTGTGGTCCACTGATATCTGGTTAGTTCCTTATGTGTGAGGTTTGAGGTTCGATCCTCTTAGTAGGCATAGATTGTGTATGGATATCCCCTTTCTTTGTAATATAATAAAAAAATCTAAGCACAACCCAAGTTACTGTATGTATTTGGATTAATATGACACGTTTTTTTTTTTTTAATGCAACATGACACGATTTAGTATATAGGAGATTGTGCTAGGCACTATTCATTTAATGTGGGTTGTGTTTGGTTGGTCCAAACTCATACATATCTCTAGTTAGAGCTCTCCCCATTTATAATGCCTAGTTTTATATTATATTATATCATATTAAATTGTGCAAAAATACACTCATTTCTCCATTTCTATATCCACCCAGTAGTAATAGCAAACCATGCACTCTATCCACTTGTGTATTGTCTATGCATTCCGGCCACCTGCAAGATTTTAGGAGAACAAAAATAATCGTATGGCTCAAGTTGGCACAATATAGTTCATTTGACATCACTAATAGTATTGTAATTCAAAAATATTTGTGTTGTTTTTTAATTTGTTAATTAATTCATTTAATTGTATAATAATGTTCAATATAAACTATAAAAAAAAAAACTCGATTTTTTGACAAATGTTTGTATTTGATATCAATAAATTTAATTATATATGTACTATATATGGAGAGGAGAGAAGATAAACATATGAATGGCTTATTATAAATATTTATAATGAATATAATAATTATAAGAAGTGTAACAATCAAAGGGTGCTAGTAACTACCAGCTGTCACATTAATGCAACTATCAATAACGTGCCTAATGAACGTATTGTTTGGAGTCTTGGATTGGGGATACATCAACGTAACAAGGACTCCCCAATTGGACCCAACCTACCGACACAATCCTAATAAAGGTTTTTTCTTCTCTTAATTATAGTTTTTTTAAGAGAGAAGAAAAAAAAACATTAATAAATAATGTGCTCTAATATTTCGTACTTTTGACCTAACAAATATGAAGCTTCAAATTTATGTATGACTTTCTTGATCTGAGTCAGTCAGTTATGGTCTATGGGTAACTCAATTTTATGTATTTTTTATATTTATTTAATAATAATTAAATTCGAAATATTTTTATGTAAAAAAAATATATTAAAAAGTATGACCAATTCATGTGCAAATATTCATCAACTTTACTATTCATGGATTGATCTAGACTTTGATTGATATACGAAGTTAAAAAATAATTAAAGGTAGAAGGGTCAAATAAGCATATTTACAACTCACAAGTGCTCAATTAAACTCTTAAAGTTTAAAATAAGAACTTATTATTTGATACATAAACTTTTAAAATTCCTGCATTTATCATTTTTTCAGGTTCCATCATGTTTTGATGACATGGTGTATAATTAAACTGATGTGGCTGGTAAAATATTTTTTTACACATGGCATCCAACAAATAATACTTTCTTGAAATGGCTTCAATCCACCGAAAAAGTAAATTTTCTACTTTTCGGTGGCGTGGCATCACTCCAATATAATAATTCTACATGAGGTGGCTAAAACAAAAACTTTAATTACAAATGCATCATTCTCATTTTGTTCTCTAGTAGATGAAATTTGGCTTTAAAAAAAAAAAACAAAACAAAACAAAACAAAAAAACTCACCTGTATCTCTTTTGAAAAGATTTCAAACACATCTACTAAATGAGTGATTCCAAAAATTACACCAATGTAAAAATAATATACATATTCACACCTTCCGATCCATAGTTGATAACCAAAAAATTTCCTCCTAGAATCGTGAGTTGTGCAAATTTAGACTTTCAATCATCGCAGGCTCATACTCCAAGTTGTTTCATGCACCTGATGAAGCCAAATATGAATACATTTCAAACCAAGAAGACGAACGAAGCTGATACGATTTTGAGAAAACGAAGCGGAAGAAAGAAGTCGAAGGTGGGTTTGAGAAGACGAAGAAGAAAGAAGTGGAAGATGAAGAACATACTGATAGGGTTTGCTTGGTTTTAATTTATAGCCTTAATAAATTTCATGTCAACAAATTTTTTTTTTTTAAATTTAATTTCCATGCCAGCTTAATATGGACCGTCAGAGTTTTAGAAAGTGTATGTATCAAATTAGCTCTTATTTTTGACCAAGAAATTAATTGAGTACTTGAGTAATAGATGAACCTTTTTAACATTTCTGACATAATTAAAAGTTTAAAACTCAAATTACATCTCTTATTCAACACACAAACTGAGACAGAAGTTGTAGCATTTTCAATTACAACGTACAATTAAACAGAAGAAATACAGTGGTGCCATGTTTAGGCAGATCTCAGGCACATATCAAACATTCTCAACCCCATATAGCCGGAAATTGAGTCGCCGGAGCCATGCAGAGTGAAGAATCATGTGGAAAACATCGTACCTCTTCGGAGGGAAATTAACCTCAAAATGCCGTCTGGCTAACGACCCCATCCTCTGCAAACTCAGATACTCACTCTCGGATATTCCCGACAGGATCTTCTTCAAGTTCGGGATGTCTGCCACCGGAATCTCAACGGAAAACGACTTCCAATTCAGAACGTCGCTGAACGGCGCGACGTAATGGTTCTTAATGAGCACAGGGACACAACCCGTGTAAAGCGCCTCCACCATTCTCGGACTGGCAACCTCGTAGCCGCTAGGGCATATGCAGAACTTGCTCTTCCTTAACAAATCATAGTACGAAACGCCACTGGGGAGATACTTATGAACTTGAACGTCTTCGTCTTTGTTTTCCCAATGTTGTAGGAGTATTGGCCTTATCGGGCCGTGAAGCCCTCCGGCGAAGAAAACCAAAATCGATCGGTTTGCCGGAGAGGGATCGCCGAGTAGGCCTCGCATTGTACCGTCCGGAAGATGGATCTCCGGGATTGACACGTCTTTTGAGGGCTTAAATCCTTCTGAAGTATTCGCATTGCACAATGCTCGTATTGAGTTCTTGAATAGCTCAGGAACGGCCTTTGAAATTTCAGGCCCCTGCACCGTTCAATCTTGCCTGAATTACAACTTTACATGCCAATAAGGCCATAAGGGCTCCAAAAATGATAAGTCATCAAACTTTTAATCTCTAAACTTTTTAAAATTGCAATTACACCCATCAACAATTCATTTTGATGCAATGAATCTAAGAACCGGTAAATAACCTGTTATTATAAGTCAATAGGGATCCGACCACCCTCGGGCAGAAATTTCAGGTAAAAAAGTGATCGGCGAGGTCGACGGTCACGCAGAAGGTCACCTTCTCTGAAGAGAAGAAGGCGACCTTCTCCGTTATCGACGACCGATCGCTGGTCACTTTTTTACCTGAAATTTTTGTAGGAGGGTAGACAGATCCTTAATAACCTGGGATAACATGTCATTTATTGATTTTTGGACTTTATTGCATCAAAATAAATTATTGATTGGTGTAATTGCACCTTTAAAAAGTTGGAAGACTAGTTGACTTTTTAACTAAAGTTCGAAGGCTGACGATGTTTTGGGCTTTATAACATCGTCACAAAACTGCAGACTTATATCATTTTTTATGACGAGATAAATCTACAGTTTTGTGACGATGAAAATTACCCCCATTACTTAAGAGTGTGGCATGATAAATTAATCTTACTTTTATATAATACCTGCAAACTATATAGATAAATTAATCTTACTTTTATATAATACCTGCAAACTTTGATACTCCGTATTTACTTACCCAATCATGGCATGAAAGCATGAAGTGATCAGCTCCCAGGCTTCGATTCCAGTAAGGATACTTTTGTGCTACAAGATTAACGTAGTCGCTGACGGTCAGTTTCATCGGACGCCATGGTTCACTTAAGTTCCTCTCGTAGATCGTCCGCACTATTCCGGCAACGGTGACCGGCAAGAAGTAAATGTGTGCCTTCTCAGCATCTCTTGTGCGGAATTTTGATTTCTCTATTCGGTGAATGAAATTTCCTTCCGTTGAATAAATGTTCTTGCATGGTCCGGTGTGAAAAATGGGCTTTTGTCCCTCTTCATATACATATACTTTCAATTGCTTTTCCATTTCCAAGTAACTCCTGGTGGATCGAAACGAAAAGGAAAATGATAAGTATACTTTCATAAAGTAAAACTTTTTAGTGATAGTGATTAGCAGCTGATTGAGTTAATTAGAGGATATAATTAGTTGATAACATTAACTGATTGTAGAAATGTGTTTGGTAAATTAGCTGTGAGCTGATAGCTGTTTGGTATAATTTCTTTTCTAAAAAGAACTGCTTTGAATAGCATTTTAAATTTTAATGTTTTGGAATTACAAAAAGTTAATTAACCAAACACTTATATTGATTTTTTAACCAAGTCAAACAATAACTATTTTACCAAACAGGGTAATGTTTTAAAATATTTTTTAGATGACTAAGGAAACTCATAACTGAATAAACCTTACTCTTATGTAATACACTACAAATCATACATAGGAGATATAAATTGATAGAAAGATCTCTATGCAATGGATCTAACCTAGAAGGTGTTGGCAACAAAACATTTTAAAATCTTAATAAATACAAAGACAAGTTGATAACATCGTATTTGTCAAATTATTCTGTGGACCATGAATAAAAGATACATGTTTAATATATTAAATATACATTATTTAAGTATTGAATGTACATTATTTGAAAGTACTAAAGTGATTAAGATTTGTGTTACCTGTGGAAAACATTGGCATTCCAATAAACTGGGCCAGCCGGAACATAATCAGGGTCATCCAGCTTTCGCTTTCCATGCAAAGCATCTCTTATTGCAGCTCTAGCCATCCCCATTTTAGCTTCAAGCCTCTCCAGATTACTGAACTTTCCGGTGATGATTGTTGCCTGAAACTTTGACTTCCGGCCAAGAATAAAAGGACTCCAACTCCATGGAAAATTTCTGGCGGCGAGAACCAAACCAGAAGAATTCATTGAACTCCCCAGAGCCACCAGCATGCAAACCAGAATCAATGGCGACATCATCCACAACAACCTCGTAGATGATGATGATGATGGCGGCGACGGCTTCAAATTCTCTTTCATTTTGGATTGTCTAAATTACACCCCTTTTTGAAATACTCAAAGTGAAATTAAGTATATATGAATACTCAGCTAAGGTAGAACAAGGAGAATATATAATATCTTATGGTTCCATATATATTTTCTTGGATTTGGGTTGGACATATAACATATTAATAGGTGGAGTAGCATGCTAGCCGTTACAAGAAAAAACTTAAATATTTACAAATTAAATACCTGTAAATTTTATTAATTTCTTGTAATAAATGATGCAAGGAGCCCAGAAGTGAGATCGAATTGGGCCAAGGACGTGGTACAACCATGCCCGGATACATCGATAGTATACAGATATTGAGATAGTCTCCATATATTTATATGAGAATAGGCCAATTCAAGACCCTAGCGAGTTGGAGTAAGTGTAATGTCTTAATTTATTCGAGTGGGGTTGTACCATAGATTGTAGAATGTCCCTAGTTGAAGTGAAGATAGAACTCATCATACATGCATAAACATGCCTTCCAAGCCTATGAAACCTCACAATACCCGTCCAACTTATTCTGATACTAATTGTCAGTCACATCAAATGTTTATTAATTACTATGTCAAAACTTATAACTAGCTTAGTAACAAATATCCAACTTTATTTTTTTATACTTGCATTCACTGTCGTAGATGATAGATGCTAGACTTAGCCTTCTAATCTTTGTCTATTTTTACTATATATGTGATCCTTATATTTTGAACTAGTTTATCAAATATTCTAAAAAATTTATTTTCATAGATATTATATTTTTGGGGTGGGGGTGGGGGACGAGCTAGGGTATAGGTTTCTATTTCCGAGCATGGTTCTTCATGCAAAATATTGTACCAAAAGAAAATTAAAACAACACTCTTCATGCAAAAATACCATAAAATCGACATCTACAACGTATGATGAACAGCAGCCTAGACGCATGCCCGCAGACGCCATGCATGGACAAACGTAAAGACAAGTTGTTTGTAATCAGAGAAGGAATGATGTAACTTTAAATTTAATTTCTGGAAAAATTAAAATTGAACACGAATTTTGTTATTGAAAAGGATCAATTGAAATAGAAGTTTTGGAATTAGTACTACTGCATTATATATCATCATATCGTATCAACGTTGCGTTCTTTGGGTGATTTTTTTTATTGATTTATTTATTTCATAGAAATATTCTTCACGCTTGAATTATGCTCATATGTGTATGTGAGATCAAATGAGAATAGTGTTTGAATAACTAAAAAATGGAGCACACAGCTCCAGGAATGGTGAGGGGGCTCCCACCCCAATAGTGACTAAAAAAAAAGGTGTTTATAATTGTTGTAACGTTTAGTTTTTATTTTTGTTTTTAAGCAATAAACATTGTCGCTATTTAATGAAGTCGTATATATTTCAATTCCCACTTTGCTGGCATGCCTAAGTGCTTAACCACAGATCGACGCCACAAACAAACATTAAGACAAGTTTTTCATCAAACAAGTTATGATGTAATTTTAATTTTGGATGTTTTGGGTTAGGTTGCAAACAATAAACCAAGCAACTTTTCTATTGAAAAGGAATTATTGAAGCAGAAGTTTTGGAAGGTTTTTTCAAATCACCGTGTCATGGTGAGACCGACGTTGTCCTACACTTCATTAATTAAGGATAGCAATTTACATTCATTATGTGGGCTTTCATATGAATTAATCCGAGGACAAAAAACATTAAAGGTATGAATTTGGTTTTGTTGTAGGCAGTAATGTATAAGTATTAATTAGATATTTGTAAGTTAGTTAAGAAACATTTTAAATTTAATTTACTTCTTCTACCAATCTGCAGGACAGAGTAGTGATGACTGATGATAACCTCTTAAGTTTGAGGTTCAAACTTATGAATACATTGATTGGGAACCTTTCTCAACTGTGACCGACCCAACCTAAGTGTGAAAACCAAGCAAATGCTTAACTAGTAGTCATTTTCGCCCCGCCTAGAAGGATCCATCTCGACCTATATTTAGGTCGGGACGATCGATCCGATCAAGTTCACTTGGAGAATAAACCTAGATTCTTGACCTCGATCCGGCCACAACGGCTTGGTGGCAAGTTAGGAACATCGCGACAGGTGGGTGTCACTACACCGTCACTGGGCTCACTGACTGCATGCACGACACGTGTTAGGCATGCCGAGAGTCCGACATGTGTCTCCATTACCCCTATAAGTACCACATATAATGATGGGAGAAAGGACTTTTTGGGGCAGTTTCCACATAATCATTGGCAGCTCGGGGCCCTTTGTGGGTCACTTTTCCCGAGCTCGACCACTTAAACTAAAAAACAGACGAATAAAAGATTCACATACAATCCGATCTTTCTATTCATATGTATTTGTGGGAACGACCGTATTTACCACATCACACATGAATCAAATAAAGACATATGGTCTTTCTAGTGTAGCTTAATTCTCTTGAGTAATTTATGAATTATTACACAAAAGTGGAATTTACCCAATGATAATGACTACGAATTTTCCTTGTCACTCAAAAAAAAAATATTAGAATTGAAACTGGGCTGGCCACTTAGCTTCCTTTTAAAGAAATATATATAACACCAGGCCAAGGCCCAAGTCCACTTTGGATTTGAGCCAACATTCTCTACTAGCAGCCTGTTTACTGCAAGGCCTATTATTGGTCTTTATTTTTATTTTTTAATCTTCCAGACCATAATCGAACAGGCTGAAAGCCTGAAACCAAAGAATCGAAATTTTGATTTGAGAAAGGAACCAAATCCAACCTAGAAGCTCAACAGAGTCAACACTGGGTATTAATTCAAGTTAAGAAAAGATAATCAGCGGAGCTAGGGGGAGGCCGGAGGGGGGTCTTCTTGGAGAGCCATTATTTGATATTTTTAACAATTTAGTAATAAACCCTTACTGGAATGGAACTATTATTTTTTGAGTTGTCATAGTTGCTAATTCAATTAAAGCTGTCAAAACGGACTAGCCCATATATGGGCGAATCGGACCAAGTTTACATGATTTTAACGGGTCGTATTTTTCCAAACCCAGTCCATTCAAGGGTGGGCCCGACAGGTTAGATCTATTTGAGTCTATTTTGATAACTTTAGCTAAGGGTCTTGGCCACTTAAGTTATGTCACTTATGTGGGGTTGGTGAGGATAAGATGGTCATTTACAATCATCAATGTCATTTCATCTTCCTCCATCCAATCAAATCAAAACAAAGTTTGAGTCTTGGATTCTCATTGATATTTAAAAGGGTTTGGGTGTATATACAATATATATATATATATATATATATATATATATATATATATATATATATATATATATGGTGTATATCATGCAGCTATGTGATGAGTTTGGGGATTGGATTCAGGCCCAGACGATGACATATTTGTCTTGCATATAACCCTATTCTGACACCACATGTTAAATTCCAACACGTGTATTTGTAAAAGTTACCAATCAGGATAACTTATATATTTAATTACTTACGAGGACTATGTGGTCTAATGGTACCCGGGTTGGACTTTTATTTAGAAGGTTGTAAGTTCAAGTCTTAGTGGCGGCGTTATTAGCTTTTTGTGTTCAGTAGGTTTACAACCTAATAGAGCTAGTAGCGCTCAAAAAAAAATTATATTATGAGCAAAATAAAAGAAAAGATTTGGAAGAAATTTTATTATCAAGAGAGAAAGAGATGGGAGAAAAGAGTAAAGATTCTATCATTATACTCATAATAATCTATATGTACATATATACACTGTTGTCGCTTAATTAACATGGTACGGTACGAGGAGACGGAGGAGTTGACGTGTAATCATGTGGTACATTATATTGGAGATTACACAGATTTCTCTTCTCATTTTCTCTCTCTGGGTTCAATGCTCACATGCATACTATGCAAATCATTTTCTGAACTGTATTGTCGTATGGAAATACATAAAATACAACATAAATCATTATCGTACAACGTTGTAATTTTCTTTATGAGTTGGTTCGGTTGTTTTCGTAAATGTCAAGAACATGCCAGAATGTATATATATTGACAAAAATTAAACCACTACAGCATAAAAAGTCACAATGGTTCGATTTGATCGAATTGAGGTTTTTACAGATAAAAATTATGGTACAATTTCACATGTGGTAAATTGAAATTAAACTATTATTTTTTTATATTATATTTTAAAACATTATTTACTTATATAATATACTTAAAGCGGATTGGGTGCAGTCCTCTATTGAGCTTTATAAACCTTCCCTTTTGCATGAGGGCTCGGGTGGTAAGCTATCAGTCTGCATTGGACTATAGCAAGAAATTTCTCACGCTGGCAAATCCCTTACGGCTCTTCTTCAATAAAGCTTTATAAGATTTCCATTTTGCATGAGAAGATTCCAGGTACAGAAGGGCAAATCAATCCAGGCCACAATGTATCCCACACGGACATCCTTTCCGACAACGAAGCTTCTATGGTTGTTCATGGTTCCTTTTGTTCTGCTGTCTGCTTTTCTGGTTTTCCGTGCCCCTAATAAGAGTTGGGTGTTCACTTTTCCTTATCTGAAAACTCTTGCTGTCTATGGTGCAAAAAGTTATACAAAGTTAGAGATACTGGAATCTGGTCTGGCCCAAGCCCGATCTTCAATCTTGAGAGGAAACCAGCTTCACAGTGATGAACACTACATCCCTTCTGGTTCAATATACTGGAATGCCTCATCCTTTCACAGGTAATATAATTTACAATTCCACATCTACTCCATCCTTTTGTGGTAGATCTAGTTAAGGTCTCGAGAGTTATTTGGTGCAAATTAAATCTAACTTTTGTGATATAAGTCTGGGCTTCGAGAATGACTAGAGAAACAGTAGTCATTACTCGAGAAGTCTGGACTCCTGTTGGAAGTCGAACTTCCAGCCATGTGGTTACTAAGTAATTAACCGCCTAGCCATGGCTGGGGTTGCCTCGTGTATATCAATTCCTTAATCCCTTAACTTGGGGGTGCGATTGAGTGGAACTTCAATCATTAACCAAAGGTTAAGGGTTCGATCCTTGGTTTTGGGTATAAAACAACATTAAATCTCCAGGTCAGTTGTCTCACTTAAAAGAGGTGTCCACAATTCAACTAGTGATTAGTCACTGTGTCTAAAGGTATAAATCCTGGTTACACCAAAAAAAAAAACCTTAATCCTTAAAAAAGTGGTGTAATGAAATGCAGGAGCTATGTGGAAATGGAGAAAACATTGAAGGTGTATGTGTACGAGGATGGACAGCCGCCGGTGGCTCACTACGGTCCCTGCAAGAGCATATACGCAATCGAAGGTCATTTCATCCATGCCATGGATTTTAGCCAGTTTCGAACCACAGATCCAGACAGTGCCCACGTTTTCTTCCTTCCTTTCAGCGTTACTGTTCTGAGTAAAATGATTTATGTCGCCAACTCCCATGATTGGAGTCCGATGAAGAGAACTGCCTTGGACTATGTCCAGTCTATTGCTCGGAAATACCCCTTCTGGAATCGCACCCTCGGCGCCGATCATTTCATGCTTTCTTGCCATGATTGGGTCAGTGCAGTATATATGCAGCTTTATTTAACTTATCTTTTTTAATCTGTTAGAAATTTCTTTTTGAGTGACCACAAAAGTTCAACCTTATGATTCTAACTAGCTGCAGAAGATCATAAGAACATAAAAATTGCATTTTTCAACCATTTTGAAATTACATAATTTTGGAATATATATATATATATAGGGGCCAGAAATATCAGGTTCGATTCCAGATCTACAAAAGTATGCAATCAGAGCATTGTGCAATGCCAACACCTCAGAAAGATTCAACCCCAAGAAAGACGTGTCCATCCCAGAAATCAACCTCCCTGACGGCACAACAGACGGCTTGATCGGCGGCCCGCCGCCGACAGAGCGTCCGGTGCTGGTCTTCTACGCCGGAGGGCTTCACGGCCCGGTCCGGCCAATTCTCTTGCAGCATTGGGAGAACAAAGACGAAGACATTAAAATCCACAGCTATCTTCCCAAGAACGTGTCGTACCACGGAATGATGAGGAAAAGCAAGTACTGCTTATGTCCCAGTGGGTACGAGGTTGCCAGTCCAAGAATGGTGGAAGCGCTGTACATGGGTTGCGTCCCCGTGCTTATAAAACGCGGCTACGTGCCGCCGTTCAGTGACGTGTTGAACTGGTCGGCGTTCGCGGTTATTATTCCGGTGGAGGATATCCCTAACCTCAAGAAAATCTTGACGGATATTCCTCAGACGCAGTACGAGATTCTGCAGAGGAGAGGAGTTGAGGTTCGGAGACATTTTGAGGTTAATTGGCCTCCTAAACGTTTTGATGTCTTCCACATGATTCTCCATTCCATTTGGCTTAGAAGGCTCAACATTCGAGTTCACCATCTCAACAATTAATTTTAATTAATTTAGTAGCAGGAAATAAAATTTATATATATTTACAAGTTAAACATGAAAACATCAATAGTGCTTATAAAGTTGTAATATGGCAAGTGTTAAATTTATATATATTTTATACAACACTTTTAAAATTAATATAATGCTACTTTAAATTTGTTTATATATGCTTTGTTTATGAATAAATTTAGTTATTTACTCACGTGGTATGGATGAAATGGTGCACGTATATAAGTTTCTTTCAATTTAACAATATTTCTTTCATGGGTTCGATCCCTACTTCAGAGAAAGTAATTATAAACAAATACTGATCGTAACTAACGTCAAAGCTAAGGACCAAGAAGGCAAGAATCTTCTTTTGTCTTATTTATCATGCTGTTTTGTCACTTAGAAACAAGAACAATTTCTTTGTGTAGTGGAAAGACTACAAAGTCACATCATGGTATCCGACAAACATTCCAAGGGGAAAAAACAGGGTATCAGACAATATACATGTAGATCGAAGTAACTTCATATATATCTCAATTATGAACATATAGAGATATAAAGAGAAAGATAGATATATGATTTAGGTAGGGTAAAAAATCAATACATTAATTTAATGGTACATGTATTAATATGATTTTCTTATTTATTTCCTTATTTTTGTAAATAAAAAATAAATATGAGGTGAACTCCCAAAGAAAAAAAAATCATATACACACTATTAGACAATATTACGACAAGCATGAGCCACAATAAACTTGACCTCTTAAGACTTAAATAATGGAGGGACAATCAATCACTTGATGCCCCCCATTATGCTGGTATGATTGAATGCTTTATTAACAAATCATCAACCTAATTTTGCTCCTTTTAGTAATGTATTAATTTCATTTCTCATTACCCGTCCATATCTATATTTTTCCCTTCTGTTTTTTTTTAGAGGTAATTCTATTTTTATCTTATATTTATAGGTGACATTTCATTTTAGTCAATTTTTAAAAAATATCCCATGTTGGTCCTAGTCTTATTGTGATATGATCATTTTTTGTCATTTGATAACAAACTTCTTTAAATGTTCTTAAATATGAGAACATTTCAGTATATTCAGTTCTAAGTATTTTAATTTTTTTTTCTTAGATTTATATGTCATTCCAATGCTGCATGCATGCATAGGCTTAGGTTGTGGAGGCTCTGCTGCGGAGGCGCGAATTGCAATTGAAGTAGTAGGCAAGAGACTCTAGCCATGAATTATATGGATTTTTTTCAAAAAAAAAAAAAGAAATATATATAGTGGATTAATCCACTTTAATTTGTATTAAAAAGACTAAAATACTCATGTATTTAACATCATTTAATAATACTAGGATCAACAAAGGATATTATTAAAAAAAATTAAAAATAAAATGACACATATAAATCTATGTGCAAAAATGACAATTGTTATACCATGGACCGTGGTCCACCTTGCAAGGTGGACCCTGGTCCTAAATTATGTATTTTGAAAACTTATAAATTACGTGAGTTTGGGCCTACCAAAACACACAATATCCATAGGCAGTGAACTTGTTACAACCTTCTAAATTACATAAGTTTGATCCAAAAAGTGTAATTAAGAATTTGAATTCATAATCATCTAAATATGAAAATTTTTGTTTTAATGAATAATAATTGAAACTAACCATAAATGAACTTATTGAATTTCAAATAGTTTAAACTAGTATGACACCCGTCCGTTGCGTGGCCTATAAATCTAGTAGTTAATGTTTTTTTTTTTTTTTTTTTTTTTTTTTTTTTTTTTTACATTGTTAAAGTATATTATGTATATTGTAAATTGTAAATAATGGAATTGGCAGTTACATACGTTTATATGGAAATAATTATTATATAAATAAATATCTTGCTTTTTAATAGACTATTTTTATATATGGTAATTAATTTCATAATTACAAATAAAAATTCCTAATTGAGGGGAGACTTTTGCGACATTTCAATTTGCCAAATAATTTTTAAATAATTTATTACATCATTTCAGACCTTTTAATAGATTACTTTTAAATTAATATATATAATTAAATTATTCTACCCAATTATATATATCATTCCTAAATATGATCCTAATAACTCTATATGATGTACGATATATATGTATATAATAATATATAAATATAGTATTATCCTATTATACCTATATGTAATTATGGAATTGATAGTTACATACGTTCATACAGAAATAATTATTAGGATTATGAATCTAAAGGAAGAAATCAAGATATTTTCACTTATGTTTATATTTTTTTAATAATACATGTTTATAAAGAAAAAATATATTTTATATACTAATAATAATAATTTTTATAGAGATATAGACATATGTACGTAAATATACAACTATACACACATATATATGTATTCTTTTTATTTTTAAACAAATATACAGTTTATATATAGTTGTACACTTATTTCTATAAATCCATAATCCATAATTAAATCAATAATAATTTCTTTAAGCAAAACATACTAACCGTATAATTCATAAATAAAAAAATTTCTTTTTTGAAGTATAGAAATGTTTTTAAGTAATCAATTGAGTCATTTCATAAGCCAAAACATTCAATCAAATAATTATCAAGCAACATATTCATCACTTTGGAAAATACTTTGGGCAAAGTAAAAAAGAAGAACAACCACTTACCGTGAAATCTTATTTTCCCAAATTTCACTAAGCCTCAATTGTTTAAATCCTCATCTTCTATCAACCATCATCATCATCAACAATAAAACAACACAAGGTACACATAAGCACCCGTAAAATGTTAAGGTACCTGCTTGTATTCTACCCATAATAAATAAACTAAAATAAAATAAAAGAATAACACTTACAAGGTACTTGTTGAAAGGAGCTGAGAGTTCTAACTTTGAAGAAGAAGAAGAAAATATATATTTTTATATTGTATAAAAGTCATGGCAATGGAGGAAAAGGGAGGAAGACAAAATTTTCTAATTCTCATCTACATAATTATATAGGTAGTAAACTAATCTTTATGAAATAATTTAATAGTCATTAATAGGGCATAGAAGAGATGGGTAACTTCCAATTATAATAAATTTTGATTCCAAAATAATAAAGAAAAAAATATTACATATATATACACATGGTACACTCATTAATATTATATATATACACATGCTACTTAATATATAATATTATATATATCCACACGTTAGACTATATCTATAATAGCATTATTATTATTATTATTATATTATTATTATTATTATTATTATTATTATATTATTATTATTATTATTATTATTATTATTATTATTATTATATGGTTAGTTAATAATTATGAGTTTGGTTTTTAAAAAATGCACCTAAGATTTTGGGGCAACCAATTACACGGTGACAACAAGGAATCTGTCCATTTTGGATATAATTTTCACACTGCCGCTGCCGAAATTCAAACCTTGGTCTCTTCTTTCAAATACTGCTCACTAAACCGGGTTCTATTTACATTCTCATAGATATAAAAGATGGTCCAATTTTTATTAACACTTTCACGGACCTATCGCACAATGTTATATAGAGTGTTACAAGTAACATATCATATCCTAATTGGTTAAACACCTATTAATTAGATTCAAAACATACACTAATCCAACGCAAAGTACAAATTCCCGGTTGGTTAAACACCTATTAATTAGATTCAAAACATACACTAATCCAACGCAAAGTACAAATTCCCGGCCGGATTTTTCCGAATCTTGTCTATAGTATATATAAAAATAAAATCTTGAACTTTAACTTCCCACCTAATTTCTAAACAATCTCGCTTTCTAATAAAATATATTATTTTTTACTTTCTTTTTTTGTACTATAATTCTAGGTTAAAATTCCTATTCGTAATATTATAATCATCAATAGTAAATGTATATTTTTAAAAATAGTAAAGTTAAATTAAAAATGAAACGAAAATTAAAATTGAAACGGAAATATTTCAATAATAGTATTCTACATCATTAAATAAAAATGGAATGGAGATTAGGTAAAAAACTATAAAACAAATTACCACTTAAATAATACATGGGAGAAAAGTGCTATAAGTATATAATTCAAGGGGAAAAAGTGTCATTTTTCTGTGATAGTTATGTTCAATTTTGAAAAGATAACACTATTTTGAGATAAACTAAAAATGAAAGTAAAACAGGTAAAATGAGACAGGGGAAGTATTAGTTATCATTTATGTTAGTATGAGATGTCAAGATAGCAATTTACATAACTAAAAATTTAATCAAAATAATTATTTGTTACAAAAATAAAATAAAATAAAATAATTACAAAAAAAATAATTAAAATCGTTGAATTACACTGCACAAAGCAGCCGCAAATTTGGCTGCTTGAGAACTGTGCAGCGAAGCTTCCTTTCAAATTAAAAAGAAAAAAAAATAGAGGAAGTAAATGAAAGTGAAAGAAAACGGTACTTTCATGAGTACTTTACACGAAATAGTCTAGGGTTTCAAACCACACACATTTTAAGTAATGACTCCAAGAGAGATGGAATAAGGAGAAGAAGAAATAGATAAGAAAATCTTTTAGGATGGGGAAGAGAAAGGCCAGAGGGTGGTTGTCGCCGCCGTTCTTTCCGCCGTCTTCAAAGCTTGCATGGTTTACAGTGGCTGTGATTGCGGTTTTTGGGTTTGTGGTGTTTCCTGCCCTAAACTATTCCACTTTTCTGTTCACTTATCCTTACTTGAACACTCCGGCGGCCTACCATGGATCTCCACCCGGCGATCTCCGGCAGCTGGAGAGCCAGAAGGACACCGGCGATTCAAGACTGACGGCGCTAGTAGCGACGGAGGAGGAAATAGGGAAGGGGTTGCATGAGAGTAACGTCACCGGAGTTTCAAGACTGCTGGCATTAGTGACGACGGAGGAGGAACTAGATAAGGGGCTGCATGAGAATAACGTTACCGGCGATTCAAGACCCATATTATCGGCACCGGAAGCTGGCATAGGCAACGACGAGAGACAAAACGGCATATCTTCTGATGATACCGAGGATTCAAGAAAACCGAAAAGGTATACGTATACCAACATGGAGATAATAGAAGCCGATCTTGCCCGCGCTCGAGCTTCCATCTTAAGCGGCGGCGGCGGGACACAGACAAAAGATGATGATGATGACGTCCCTGTCGGTCTCATGTACCGGAACGCTTCGTTCTTCCTCAGGTTCTTTACTTTCACAGAGAGAGAAACTGTAGTACTTTGCATTTTAGGTCACTTCAAAATAATTAGTATGAGTAGATCGATAATATGCATGCATGCAGGAGCTACGAGGAAATGGAGAAAACATTGAAGGTGTATGTGTACGAGGATGGAGAGCCGCCAATGGCTCACTACGGTCCCTGCAAGAGCACATACGCAATCGAAGGTAATTTCATTAGTGCAATGGATTTTAGCCCCTTTCGCACCACCCATCCCGACAAAGACCACCTTTACTTCCTCCCCTTCAGCATCACCTTCCTCACCAAACTGGTTTATAAACCAAACTCCCATGATTGGACTCCCATGAGGACAACTGCATTGGATTATGTCAACTCTCTTGCGAGGAAATACCCTTTCTGGAATCGCTCCCTCGGCGCCGATCACTTCATGCTTTCTTGCCATGATTGGGTCAGTCACAACTCACAACTCTTTCCTTAATTACCTTATTCCCACAATTTGGATGTTAATTATCAATCTGGCCACCACTTTGCCTTTAATTGGGTCAGTCTGGTGTGAATAAGAATTAGTCTGGTACGGGTTTAAAGGTGTGTCTTACAATTAGAACATGTTTAGAACACAACCATTATTGTTTGGACCATGGTCCACACAAACTGTGTAGTCCATATTTTGTATACTATAAAAGAATGTAACACTTCCAATCGTTAATTCGTTATATCGTGGACCAGGGTCCATAGTGCACTATAGACCCTAGTTCAATACACAGACTTCATGTTCATAATGCACATAATTCATATTTATAATACACATAATTCATGTTTATTATATCGTTTTTGTGTGTATGTGTATTATGAAAATGGATTCTGTGCATTATAAAATCAAACTGTGTATTAGACCAAGGTTTGCAGTGCACTGTAAACCCTAGTCCACGATATAAATTGCCGGACACCTAATGATACAACCAAAAAAATTACCTAATTGTCTGACTGTTATAAATTTTTTTACTGCAACGTAGGGGCCGTCAATATCATTCGGAGTTCCGAATCTGCACAATAATTCTATCCGGGCATTATGTAACGCCAACACCTCAGAGCGGTTCGACCCGAAGAAGGACGTATCCATCCCAGAAATCGTCCTCACGTCCGGCACGACTGAGGGCTTGCTCGGCGGCCCGTCGCCGTCGAAACGGCCGGTCCTGGTCTTCTACGCCGGCAGGCTGCGCGGCCCGGTGCGGCCAATTCTGCTGCAGCACTGGGAGAACAAAGACGAAGATGTTCAGGTCCACACCAATCTCCCGACGGGCGTGTCGTACAACGAAATGATGCGGAAAAGTAGGTACTGCATCTGCCCTAGCGGGTACGAGGTTGCCAGTCCGAGAATGGTGGAGACGCTGTACATGGGGTGTGTCCCCGTGCTCATAAAACGCGGCTACGTGGCACCGTTCAGTGATGTGTTGAACTGGGAGGCGTTTGCGGTTATTATTCCGGTGGAGGACATCCCTAACCTCAAGAAAATCTTGACGGGAATTTCGCAGAGACAGTACATAAGGATGCAGAGGAGAGGAGTTAAGGTTAGGAGGCATTTTGAGGTTAATTCTCCGCCGAAACGTTTTGATGTCTTCCACATGATTCTCCATTCCATTTGGCTCAGAAGGCTCAATGTTCGACTTCACCATCTCAATATGTAACACTACTTTAATTAGGGTTCTTAATTGTCTAAATTTTAGAAAGAAAAAAAAAGTTTTCATTTTTAGATCATTTTTTCTGGTACTTACAAAATTGTTTGGATCAGATCGGATCGGAGAAGTTATCGTTTTTTATTCTTGTAATTTGTTGTAATGGTTTGCTCATCCATTGTAATAAAGTTTTGAATAATTTTGTGATTTGGTTGCATAATATAATATCGTGTATACTTATTGACAAAATAATTACAAAGTTACCAGAAATATCATGTGTTCGATTCTTGTCTCTTGGTAGAACTCGTCATATAATTTTTTTTATATATATTTTTTACCTTGTGTATTTATGAGTTATTACACAGAAATAATCGAGTAAATTTACTTAATTATACGAGCTCAATGAGAATAATATTGTCTCTTTGTGCTTTATAAGGTTGAAAAAGTAGCTATGAATATATATTACATTCTAATAAAGTCAATAGTACTAAAAAAAAAAGTACTCCGTATTAACTTTGGGTGAAAACAAATAAAAGAAAAGATTTGGAAGGAGTTTTATTATCAAGAGAGAAAGAGATTGGAGAAAAGAGTAAAGATTCTATCATTATTCATAATAATCTTTACAATACATTAAGCAATATCATCAGCATATGTATATATATACACTATTGTCGCTTAGGGGTGTTAGCAACAGAGATTTCGAAAAATTACTCGTGTTCGTGTTCAGTAAGCGCTCGTTTATGTTTGTTTATTAAGGTAAACGAACATTAACAAACAAAATTTAGAGCTCGATTTATAAACGAACAGAGTCTGAACAGTTGTAAGCTCGTTTGCTAAGAGATCGTGAACAAGCTCGTTTGTGTTCGTTTAAAAATGTTCGCGAATAAGCTCGCTTAGTGTTCGTTTAATAATGTTTGTGGACAACCTTGTTTGTGTTCGTTTAATATTTGTTTGTGTTCTCTTTGTAGTTGTGTTACTTGTTTGGTTATTTTTTGTGATCATATATTATTTTTTGTTCACGAACGAATTTTGACCATGAACATGTTCATATGTTTGGTTATTAAACATTCACGAACGTGTTTATGACCGTGAACAAACATGTTCGTGAACATGTTCGTTAATGTTAACAAACATATTCGTGAACGTGTTCGTTAATGTTGTTATTATTATTATTATTATTATTATTATTATTATTATTATTATTATTATTATATTTTAAAAAATCGAAACAATATTCGGTTCGATTCTGTTTTTTACCGAATAATTCAGTTCGATTTAGTTTTTTATCAAACCATTCGGTATACAAGAATCCATTACTATTTGACTATTCGATTCGGTTCGGTTCGGTTCGGGAAAATCGAACCAAAATGCCACGCCTAAAGTTAATTACTGAAACAGTCCCTTGACTATAACAAAATTATCAATTTATTCTCAAGTTAACGGAAGTCTAATGGCAAAACTAACGAAGAACCAAATTGGTTAAGATTTTTAAAGTTGATGGACTTAATTGGTCAAAAAAATAATTGAGGACCAAATTGGTAATTTCGCTATATATAGTCAAGGGACCATTTTGATAATTAACTCAATATTCTATCTCGAGACAACTTTCTTAGTTAACTAATCTAAAGAAGTTAAAAGTTTAACTTTACTAGCAAACCCATTTTACGATTTACTTCTCCTGTCGGGCGGAGCCCGGTGAATGGCCAAGTTCACGCCACTGGGTAGCTTGGGGTGAATGTTGGCCAAATTCAGCAATCTACCTTTCAAAAATGTAACGGTATAAGAAAATAAAGTTGCATGAACGTAATTGTAATTGTAAATATTTATTTTAACAAATGTTATCAAAGTCGGGTCACGAGTTCGAGGACAAATTCAGCACCCTGCTTGGTTTTAAAAGCGGATTGGGTGCAGTCCTCTATTGAGCTTTATAAACTTTCCCTTTTGCATGAGGGCTCGGGTGGTAAGCTATCAGTCTGCATTGGACTGTAGCAAGAAATGTCTGACGCCGCCAAATCCCTTACGGCTCTTCTTCAATAAAGCTTTATAAGATTTCCATTTTGCATGAGAAGCTTCCAGCTACAGATGGGCAAATCAATCCACAATGTATCCCTCACGGACATCCTTTCCGACAACGAAGCTTCTATGGTTACGTTGTTCATGGTTCCTTTTGTTCTGCTGTCTGCTTTTCTGGTTTTCCGTGCCCCAAATAGTTGGGTGTTCATTTTTCCTTATCTGAAAACTCCAGCTGTTTATGTAATATCCAAAATCGTCCTCGACTATAGTGGTTTTTCTCAATTTCGTCCTAAACGACTTTGGTGACCTAATATCGTCCCAGACTTTTGTGTTTCGCTCAATTTAGTCTCAGATTTTTGTATTTTTGCTCAATTTAGTCCCTCATTGTTATTCTGTTCATTTAGTGTTAAATAAATAGATAATTCAGTAATTTTAATATTGGCATCTCTTTGCTCATAGACACGTGAACTGCGAAATCCTTTTTTTTTTTACGAATTACTCCAGAATTACTCCTAAAACTGCGAATATAAAATTTGATTTGCAGGTCCGGGAGTAAATCTGGGTGTAATTCGTACAAGAAAGAGGAATTTCGCACTTCACAAGTTGAAAGTAAAGAGAGATCAATATTGACATTACTAAATTGTCCCTTAATTTAACACCAATTTGACGGAATAACAAATGGAGGACTAAATTGAGCGAAACACAAAAGTCTGGGACGATATTAGGTCACCAAAGTCGTTTAGGACGAAATTGAGAAAAACCACTATAGTCGAGGACGATTTTGGGTATTAACTCGTGCAAAAAAGTATACAAAGTTAGAGATACTAGAATCTGGTCTGGCCCAAGCTCGATCTTCAATCTTGAGAGGAAACCAGCTTCACAGTGATGAACACTACATCCCTTCTGGTTCAATCTACTGGAATGCCTCATCCTTTCACAGGTAATATAATTTACAATTCCACATCTACTCGATCCTTTTGTGGTAGATCTAGTTTAGGTCCCGAGATTTATATGAAACAAGACCTTGTCCATTACATTGCGATCTATTGATATGATATTTCTCCATGCATGTTGAAAAAAATATATTACTTTCCAAAGGTTCCTAAGATTGAGGAAGGATTTTGTTATCCTTGAGCTCATTCCCGGTACGTATCAAATGGAATTAGTCCTAGTACCTACATGACTTCAATAAAATATAATAACATATATATTAGAATGTTCACTCTATTCGTAAAGTTTATCTTGTGACCTTAATTATATAGAAAATTTATAAACAACTCTTACGCGATTGGGCAATGAATTTAATTAGTTGAGTTACCGTACTAAATTAATTTAGTCCCTATCATGATAGGAAATGCATTAATTTTCACTCCAATAGACGTCAAAGCTAAGGGGACCAAGAAGGCAAGAATCTTCTTTTGTCTTATTTTATCATGCTGTTTTGTCACTTAGAAACAAGAACAATTTATTTGTGTAGTGGACAAAGACTACAAAGTCACATCATGGTATCCGACAAACATTCTAAGAGGAAAAAAAACAGGGTATCAGACAATATACATGTAGATCGAAGTAACTTCATATATATCTCAATTATAAACATATATAGAGATATAAAAAGAGATAGATAGATATATGATTTAGGTAGGCTAAAACATCAATGCATTAATTTAATGGTACATGTATTAATATGATTTCCTTAATAATTTTCTTGTTTTAGTAAATAAAAAATAAATATGAGGTGAATTCTCAAATTAAAGAAAAAAAAAAACATATACACACTATTAGTCACAATAAACTTGACTTCTTATTCTCCTTAGATAATGCGTTGAAAGGAAAGAGATCGAGGGATAATCAATCACTTGATGCCCCCTATTATGTTGGTATGTTTTAATTTTTTATTAACAAATCAGCAACCCACTTTTGCTCCTTTTGGTAATGTATTAACTTCATTTTTCATTTTTCCCCACTGTTTTTTTTTTTTAGAGTTAATTATATTTTTTTTTTATCATATATTTATAGGTGACATTTCATTTTAGTCCTTAAAAAAAATCTCATGTTAGTCATGGTATTATTGTGATAAAGACCATTTTTGGTCATCCGTTAACAAACTTATTTAAATATCGTTAAATATGAGGACATTTTAGTCTATGCAGTTCTAAGTGTTTCTTTAATTTTATCCTAAATTTATATGTGTTATTCAAATGCTGCAGAGGCTTAGGTTGTGAAGGTTATGCATGCTGCGGAGGCGCGAATTGCAATTGAAGTAATAGTAGACAAGAGATCGACGTACTCTAGCAATGAATTAGAGATTTTTTCAAAAAAAATAAAAATAAAAATATAGTGGATTAACTACTTTAATTTGCATTGAAAAGACTGAAATGCTTTCGTATTTAACGTACTAGAATCAAAGGGAGATGTTATTTAAAAAAAAAAGACTAAAAATGAAATGACACATAAATGTAGGTGCAAAAATGAAATTAACTCCATTTTTTTTTAATACAAGGGACCAGAAGAAAACTCATAAACTACATGAGTTTGGGGCTAGCAAAACACACAATATCCATAGGCAGTGAACTTGTTACAAACTTGCAACCTTAGGAGTTAAGAGGGGAGTTTAAGATTGAGCGATTAAGTTACAATTGGTCATTATGTGTAATTATTCAATCTACACATATTAGTTTTTTTTTTTTTTTTTTTGAAAATCAATCTACACATATTAGTTATTTTCACTTTTCAAATTATATTTTATATTCACTTTACGTGTCATTATTCATAATATTTAAAAAAGAAAAACATTTATAGTCCTTGGTTATATATTTTTTTTTGAATGCTATTGACTCTATTACAATATAGTATCGCACAAAAAGCCAATAACACCTCCATTGAAGCTCAAACTCACAACCTTTTATATGGGAGTCCAATATAATTCAGGTGTCATCTGAGCACAAGATGCTTGGCATAATCATTGGTTAGATATGACTAAGTAAACCTTTTTTTTTTAAAACCATGACTAAGTAAACCTTAATATAAGTTAATCATGTAATGAGATGTTTTTAAAAGAATCCACCAACTAATCAAACATTAAAGAATTGAATACGTCCGCATGGGTAGCTCAATTGGTCATCATAAAGATGAAGTTTGGAAAGTATTAAAGAGTTGAATACAAGATTGGCATGTAATGGAAAGAAAAAAATAAGTTTTAAGAAATTTAAAAAGAAGTTGGATTGGGCAAATTATTCGGTGGATCCGGGTCCACATTTTAAGGTGGATCTGGGTCCAAAAAGTCACAATTTATATACTAAATATTCATAATTTACATATTAAATGTTCATAATTTATATATACTAAATATTCACAATTTACATATGAATGTTCACGATTTATATACTAAATGTTCACAATTTTATATACTAATTAAATGTTTACAATTTACATACTGAATATTCACAATTTATTTTGACCTAGTCCATGGCATAACTATTTGTTGGACTCTGATATAGGCCGGCTACATAAGCCTCACTTATCGGAATATAATCCACATGTATGATGTATATACAAATCATTATCAGAGGACAATATAATTCACAATTTCACATAATTTACTAAATAAATCGTTGTCATAGTCATTTTCTTATTAATGCGATGGTTTAGCCATCTTCGTAGGTGTCCAAAATCCTCGTATTCATATAATCATATTCATATATAGTTTATAGCATAGAACACCAGCATGACATATACCTAATAATCGATTTTTTTTTTTAATTTTTTAAATTTGTAATGAGAGAACTTGCCTCATACGCGTACAATCACTACTCAGAGTGTATGGTAATTAAGTAAATCTCACTTTTATACAATAATCTGCAAATCAAATAAAAGTGTATGGTAAATTTGATTAAAAAGGGGTTGACAAGAATTCGAATTCATAACCATCCAAATATAAAAATTTTCTTCTTAATGATTAATCGAAACTAGCCAAAATGAACTTTTTAGCTAGATTTCAATTAGTTATTTTAGTTATGTAAAAATCAAATTTACCAATCATATCCCAAACATACCTGAAAAATGATCTTCTAATGACCAATCAAAACCAACCGAAAATGAACCAATAAGACTTTTTTCAGTTAATTATTTTAATTTGCTTGCCAAAAAATAGAATTCATGTTCCTAAAGTGGTTGAATAGTTGTACTTAAAACTCTCTCCCAAAGACAAGGTGGAGCTGAGCTAGATTTGAACCCTACTATAAATAATTTCGAGATGGTCTAATTTTTATTAACATTTTCTCGAGTTCATCGCACAATGTCATACAAAGTCTTACAATTAACTTGTCATATCCTAATTGGTTAAACACCTATTAATTAGATTCAAAATAGTACACAAATCCAACGCAAAGTACAAATTCCGGCCGGATTCCGAATTTATATAATCCCAACATACCAACTTGCTGGCGTAACCTTTGCGTGTTGCTTTCTAGTATAAGAATCCCCTTTTAGTTGCCGGTAGCACGTTACCAACATTATAGTACGTGACCACATATGCACAAACATATCATATGACTTTATAAACATATTTAATTTTCGCATTATGTCACGCCACTTGTCAACCTCTCTCAACGATCACTAGCCATCAACAAGGGCTTATTGAAGGCGACAAGAGATGGAATAAGGAGAAGAAGAAATAGATAAGAAAATCTTTTAGGATGTGGAAGAGAAAGGTCAGAGGGTGGTTGTCGCCGCCGTTCTTTCCGCCGTCTTCAAAGCTTGCATGGTTTACAGTGGCTGTGATTGCGGTTTTTGGGTTTGTGGTGTTTCGTGCCCAAAACTATTCCGCTTTTCTGTTCACTTATCCTTACATGAACACTCCGGTGGCCTACCATGGATCTCCACCCGGCGTTCTCCGGCAGCTGGAGAGCCAGAAGGGCACCGGCGATTCAAGACTGGCGGCGGCGGCGGAGAAAATAAACAAGGGATTGCATGAGTGTAACGTTACCGGCGATTCAAGACTGACGGCGCTAGTAGCGACGGAGGAGGAAATAGGGAAGGGGTTGCCGCATGAGAGTAACGTTACCGGAGTTTCAAGACTTCCGGCGTTAGTGACGACGGAGGAGGAAATAGATAAGGGGCTGCATGAGAATAACGTTACCGGAGATTCAAGACCCATATTATTGGCACCGGAAACTGGCATAGGCGACGACGAGAGACAAAACGGCATATCTTCTGATGATACCGAGGATTCAAGAAAATCGAAAAGGTATACGTATACCAACATGGAGAGAATAGAAGCCGATCTTGCCCGAGCTCGAGCTTCCATCTTAAGGGGCGGCGGCGGCGGGACCCAGACAAAAGATGATGACTCCGTCCCTGTCGGTCCCATGTACCGGAACGCTTCGTTCTTCCTCAGGTTCTTTACTTTCACAGAGAGAGAAACTATAGTACTTTACATTTTAGGTCACTTCAAAATAATTAATATACTTTCCTAATTTAAATATCTCTAAATTTTCTCTCAATTTACTCTTTATTCTGTTTTTTTTTTTTAAATTTTAAAAATGATGAGCATATAAGATTGGTCAAATGGTCTGGTCGGGGTCCAACTAATCCCGGCTAGTTTCGAGATACACAGGAGCTGACCCAGAGGAATCAGATTATCTCAAATTTTTCCTCACAAAAAATAAAAAAAACTCATTTGCCATTTGAACTACCCATTTGATTTACCTTTATTCTTGATGTTTTGACTTATGTTTGTTTAATTATTGAAGTTACTATTTTGGTTTCAAATTTATCTATATATCAAATATTGAAATCATAGTTTAGTGAACTTGACCACAAATGGACAAATTAAGGGTTCATTATTCTTTAAAGAATATAATTATTAGAATTTGTCAATTCCATTCCATATGTCATAAATAAACTAATAAATATATGCACTTTTTTTTTTTTTTTTTGCACAGTTTAGCTCATTAGTTTACTAGACAGTTTTAAGAGAAGAATGATATATCTTTGACAAATATCCGGATTTTTCATGTTCTGCTTACTTGCAAGTGATACAATTGGAAAGTGTTGGATGGTCTAGATTTTTACTTGATTTCTTGTATGACTAGGGGGTTAGTATATATATCTCAGTAGATAATATATATGCATGCAGGAGCTACGCGGAAATGGAGAAAACATTGAAGGTATATGTGTACGAGGATGGACAGCCGCCGGTGGCTCATTACGGTCCCTGCAAGAGCACATACGCAATCGAAGGTAATTTCATTCATGCAATGGATTTTAGCCGTTTCCGCACCACCGATCCCGACAAAGCCCACCTTTACTTCCTCCCCTTCAGCATCACCGTCCTCAGCAAACTGGTTTATGAACCAAACTCCCATGATTGGAGTCCGATGAAGATAACTGCTTTGGATTATGTCAACTCTGTTGCGAGGAAATACCCTTTCTGGAATCGCTCCCTCGGCGCCGATCACTTCATCCTTTCTTGCCATGATTGGGTCAGAACTCACAACTCACGACTCTTTCCTTAATTACCTTATTCCCACAATTTGGATGTTAATTACCTAAGAGCAAATATCAATTTTGATGACACGGGTATTAGCAAAATAACAGTTTTGATTTACATGTTTAATTCATACCAATTTTCATCCACAACTATTATTTTAGTACCAATTTTCATCCACAACTATTGTTTTAGTGTTTAAATTATCACCTCTTTGTTTAAGACATGCCGAAATATTAAATTATTAAGGGTATTTTCATCCTTTTCAAATTAAAATTCCAATTTAAGCATGAATAAAGGGAATTAAGTCTTACGATCTATCACAATTCGCACTTCACCTTCTCAAATTAAGGCAAGCATTTATCACAATTCGCAGTTCTCCTCCTCAAATTAAGGCAAGCTGAAGAGGAGAACTGCGAATTGAGATCGAATGAACTTAAATCTATTTATTCATGCTCAAATTGGAATCTTAAGTTGAAAATGACGAAAATGCCCTTAATAATTTTTAGATTTTGATATGTCTTACATAGAGGGGTGACCAGCCTGATAAATTTTAGTATTAAAATAATAATTGTAGATAAAAATTAATACTAAAATAATAATCGTAAATGAAAATTGGCATGAATTAAACATTTAGACTAAATTCGTCATTTTGTTAATAATCATAGAATTAAAATTGGTATTTTCTCACTACCTAATTATCTTATCTTTAACGTACAGGGGCCGGAAATATCATTCGCAATTCCGAATCTGCACAATAATTCCATCCGGGCATTATGCAACGCCAACACCTCAGAGCGGTTCGACCCGAAGAAGGACGTATCCATCCCGGAAATCGTCCTCCCGTCCGGCACGACGAAGGGCTTGCTCGGCGGCCCGTCGCCGTCCAAACGCCCGGTCCTGGTGTTCTACGCCGGCGGGCTGCACGGCCCAGTCCGGCCAATTCTGCTGCAGCACTGGGAGAACAAAGACGAAGATGTTCAGGTCCACAGCTATCTCCCGAAGGGCGTGTCGTACAACGGAATGATGCGGAAAAGTAGGTACTGCATCTGCCCTAGCGGGTACGAGGTTGCCAGTCCGAGAATGGTGGAGGCGCTGTACATGGGGTGTGTCCCCGTGCTCATAAAACGCGGCTACGTGGCGCCGTTCAGTGATGTGTTGAACTGGGAGGCGTTTGCGGTTATTATTCCGGTGGAGGACATCCCTAACCTCAAGAAAATCTTGACGGGAATTTCGCAGAGACAGTACATAAGGATGCAGAGGAGAGGAGTTAAGGTTAGGAGGCATTTTGAGGTTAATTCTCCGCCTAAACGTTTTGATGTCTTCCACATGATTCTCCATTCCATTTGGCTTAGAAGGCTCAATGTTCGACTTCACCATCTCAATGTGTAACACTTTAATCTAAATTTTTACAAAAAAGTTTTCAGTTTCAGATCATTTTTTCTGGTACATACATAATTGTTTGCTCATCCATTGTAATAAAATTTTGAATAATTATGTGAGTTTGGTTGCATAATATAATATTGTGTATACTTATTGACAAAATAATTATAAAATATCAAAAAATCATGTGTTTGATTCTTGTTGAACAGTAAAACTCGTTATATAATATTTTTTTTAATATATTTTACATCATGTATTTATGAATTATTACACAAGAGTAATTAAGTAAATTTATTCAATTGTAATTTGTATGACCCGAACGGTTAGAACTTTTAATTTATTTATGGAATAAAAGTAAGACCAACCACCACGTCCACCATTATAATCTCATTGATTTTCCAAACACACCTTAAAAGTTGTTATATTAGACCAAAAAATAGAACTTTTGGACTCCATAAGGAGCCCATATAAGACAAACAATTCCAACGAAACAATAGGCGCCCATAGAAGGGCCCATTGAAGGTCGTTTATAAACGATTTTCGTTAGGTTTTCTTTTACTGTACCCGCATCAACCTCTGCAAATCGGTTAACAGCGTCAGTACCCGCGGCCATGGTGCTCAAGTAAATCATCTTACCCTTCTCTTTGGCAACGTTTTATTTACATTCATTTCAAATGTTCTCTCTTTATACATAAAGATATGAGCGTGTATATATCTGTCTCTGTATCCATATGTATAAATATTTTAGTGGCAGAGCTGTTTAATGATCACTGTTTGCCATTCCATGAATAAAAATGTGATCTTTATCCATTAGGGTTAAAGTTTGATTGTAATTTCAGGACAGAACTCTGTCGTTTCAGTGGGGCGAAGATATATCCTGGGAGAGGCATAAGATTTGTGCGTGCAGATGCTCAGGTTGTTCTTGAATTCATAATTATCACTTTTTTCCACCACAGCATTGTTAGTGTTTTATCCTCCATTATAACTATTTATAATGTTTCTTTCAGGTTTTCCTGTTTCTAAATTCAAAATGCAAAAGATATTTCCATAATAGGCTAAAGCCTTCCAAGCTTACTTGGACAGCAGTCTACAGAAAGCAGCACAAGAAGGTGAGGAATGTTGAACTTGATAGATCTGTACATGTGGTTTTTCTCGATTTAGCCCTTGATTCTAACTACCCAATTAAGCACAAAAGACATTTAGGATTAAATAGTGGAAAACACTATAATCGAGTACTAAATTGGGTATTATCACCTTTTATAAGGTTGAGGGCATGAAGTTAGCTTTGTCATAGTTCTTTGTGGTTTTTGGTGTAATCTAATTGATTACATTTGACAGATATATGATATCTTAGGTATCAAAGTTATGTTGTATCCATTTTTGCCTAATTTGCGTTTTATTTGACACTGATAGGATCTTGCACAAGAGTCGGTTAAAAAGAGGAGAAGAACCACGAAGAAGCCCTACTCTAGATCAATTGTGGGTGCAACCTTGGAGGTTATCCAGAAGAAACGAGCTGAAAAACCCGAAGTTAGAGATGCTGCTAGGGAGGCTGCTCTCCGGTGTGTTTCTAATTGATTTCCCTTCTTTCTACGACTTATGATTGTTTGTTTACTCTGCATTCATGTTTGCAAATGCTTGATACCATTTTCATTGTAAATAGAATTTTTTCTCTTCTGGTTTGTGTTGTGCAGTGAAATTAAGGAAAGGATCAAGAAGACTAAAGATGAGAAGAAGGCAAGGAAAGCAGAGGTGATGGCGAAGTCACAGAAAGCGGGGAAAGGCAATCTTCCCAAGGGCGGAGCAGCAAAGGGTGCCAAGCTTGGAGGTGGAGGCGGGAAACGCTGATGTTCGTTCCCAATTTGAAGCAATAATGCCAGTTTTGTGGTTCGTTCGTTGATCAACCGAGTTTTGTTCTAGTCATTTCAGCATTGAAGTATTTATTTCCAGTTTTGCTGATATACAATCATTCAAGCCACAATAGATCATTCTCTAGTCCTTTTCTGGTATTCAGATTCGTTTAATCTTGATTATGCAACATGTTGGATGCACTGTTAGTTGTATGTGCACTCCACAACTCATTTTTGATGAATTACATAAAGTTTTTGTTGGATTAGTATCTTACATCCTCAGATGTTGAGTCTCTACATCTCCTTTTGTTGGTGTTCGGAAAAATGTCAGTCAGCTCAACTTATAGACCATTATGACTCGATTTCATTTACGCTATCAATTATATAAAAACATGGGTAGTCCATAGTAACAGCAAAATCAGATACAGATTGGTTCCATCATGATAAGATTATAGCATCTAGCCTGCAGTAACCTAACCTGTTCTCATCTTCTAATCTAAGTTAGGGCTTCATAATATCAACTTAACTAAGCTCTAAACATCTGATTAATTCACTGATATGGAAGAGTTGCCCAGTATGATTGCATCAACGGATTGCATTCCTCAACATTGAAGGCGAAATTGCAGTCAGCTATCTGATGGGTATTTGCTTGTAGAGCCCTGCAGTTTGAACTGGGAATCGATGTGCTCTCAACTGTCTCCTCCCCTGACATTTCTGTGTAGCCTGTGGAGACTTGCTTCTTTGTGGCTTGATCTTTGAGTATTGATCTTAGTGTCAACACCTTCTCAGACAAATCGAAGATATAAGACCCCATAATTTAAAAAAAAAAAAAAAAACATTCGGAGCGGCCTATCAGCCTTCTTGGTCAGCTATGGACAACCTATATTGGTCCCTTATTGACGGGATTTTTTAGAAAACATGATGTTGTGTGTACGAGGTGCATGGAAGTGAAAATTGGAAAATTATGTATATTACCTCTTCTTGGAGCTTCTGTTTCTCTCTTGTGACAGCTTCGAAGTCGTGTTTGAGAGAATCGTAGAGGCGTTCCAGCTGCTTAGTCTTCCACCTAGCCCGTCTGTTCTGGAACCAAACAGCGATTTGCCTAGGTTGCAGCCCGAGTTCCTTGGCCAGCCGCTGTTTCCTGTCGGGGTCCAGTTTTATCTCCTCTTGAAAACTGTTCTCTAACGACTCTAACTGATCGTTCGACAACCTCTTCTTCTTGTCCATCGGGTTCCCAAAGCTCCCGTGCTTCTCTAATGGCGGAACCACTGCGTTATGGCTTTGCATTGCGTTCTTCATTTCTATGCCGCCTGAAAATTACATTCTTTCAGTGTTAACACCGGTTCAATTCAAATATAAAAAAAACAGTAATAATATTTTCATTTGGTATTATATTTATCAAGTTACATTTTACTTCTAATTTTAACTTGTACAATATTATATACGCATCGTTTATTATATGAGCGAAGGCAGTTATTTGTTGTTTAATTATTGACAACTTTTAATGGACGGGTTAGTATTTTTGTACGAAACATAACCCAAAAATAAATGAGAATAATGTTCTCACACTACTTGATATAAAGCTAAAGATTCCTTCAAAACTTTTTAGTATATACTCAATACAAGAGTTATTGGTGCCAATTGATACTGTAGATTTTCTTTAACTATTAACCATGCATTATATCCTTATACAAGCAAAAATAAAAAATAAAAAGAAAAACAAATGACATTATAATATTGTGCAAGTATATACATATAGTTTTTGTAGTTTAAAAGTAGCTTAACCTACTAATATCATAATTTGATATCATTTATCAAATTTATTATTACCCATTTATTTAATGTATTCATTCTTTTTTTTTTTTGAATGCTACTAGCTCTATTAGAATGTAGTATCTATTCATATACTTTCTCAACCTACTGAAACACAAAAAGCTAATAACGCCTCCACTGAAATTCGAACTTACAACCTTCCAAATGGAAGTCCAACCCGGGTACCATTGAACCACATAGTCTTGGTAATGCATTCATTCTTGATTTTCCATAAAATTTAAATATATGTTTAAACTTTAAACTTAAAAATCGATGTTCTCATTCTGAAAATCCGAGGAGGTAAACTAACATACAAGACGCGAAATACTTGTAGGCTAATGTATAAAATCCATACCTCATTTTTGGGTCATTAGGATTCAAATATATGTATGACATGTTTTCAAAAGAAAAAATATGTACGAGATATATTTGGTAGAAAGTAGAAAGAGATGAGAAGAACGATGTTGTATAGTACCTGGATAGTGATTATAATTGTAACCGCAGAGGAAATTGAAAGAAACATCCTGGGACGATGACGGCGGTTGACGAGGAACAAAAGGTATGGTGAAGTTGCCATTCCAGTCCATGTTTTTCGGACCTACCTAGTTTAACCTCGATGGCTCGATAGATAGATCTTTCTTCTTCAACGTAAAACTCTACTATATTTCACTTCCCCACAAGACAAAAACTGATGTGCAAACTAAAAGCTATATATATACATACACACACACTAATGGCAGACCCTTTTCTTCTTCCTCGAATAGCTAGCTAGGCTGCGCTAGCTATTAGCTAGGCAGCTCAAGAGTCTGGACCACAGAGAGAGAAAGAGAGGGTGGGTTTCTTGTTTAAATTTAGTAAGGGTTTGGAGAAGCAAAAAAGTGAGAAAAAAAAGGTGAATATATATATATATATATATATATATATATATATATATTTTGAGGAAAAAGAGAAAATATTAAGAATTCATAGGCTTGGGATAATTGGTAAATAGACTTTTAATGTAAATGTTATTCGCGTCAAAATTGAATTAGTCTCGTAATGATGGGAATACCGAATTATATAAGACTTACTCAAATTAAAGTGAAAATCACAATAACCCAACATTTTAGATCAATATCAATTAGTAAGCAAGATACATTATTGTGTAGGTGTGGCTAGGGCTTATCTCTCTGTATGAGTCAAACTCTTGCAAGTGTAACATGAGTTAAATTCAAATTAATCTCATAATAGTTGGGATAATCAATTACTTTATGTGTATGTTATATTAAAGATCGAATTAGGCATGCTAGTCTTATCTCTAATAAGAATTCTGTGAGCATAATTAGATCTGAATTAGTTTTACAGTAGTGGGAATATCGGATTTTATATACAAACAAGAAAAGAGAAAATGACAAGGAGAGGAGCTATGTAGGGTTGTTGGTTTTGGGTGCAATAGTGTGACAATGTGTCAAAACATGAAAGAGATGGACGCAAGATCGAGCTTAGCTTCTTCTATTCATTCTTTTTGGGGGTGCAATTCATAAATATTCTTCTCCGGCACGGCAGCAACATTGTTTAGGTAAGTTTTCGACAAAATCCCCATCACACAGGACAAAGTGTTCGCAACAACATAGGCAAGCTGTTTCTCTGATCCGGTCTCCTCTCTCTCTCTAGCTCTTATCTGCTTTACCTTTTGAGTCCAATTGCCATCGCATGTAGTGATCCGAGGTCTGTACGTAAATTATACCTACTCTCTTGATTCTCTCCACCAGTACACTGTACTTTTTTGTTGTATATATAAACAATTTTTTTTTTTTTTTTATGATGAAAAAAATTTATTGTCATTACTCAAGTATGGCTCATGTTTAATGGCCTGTTGCTCGGTGTGCATTATGTAATTGCTCCTTTGTAATAGCAGTTTTTTTAATATATATATATATATATATATATATATATATATATATATATATAAAGATATCACTTTACTTTTAAACTAGTGAACAATTTAAATAGGTTTGCGTGCAACTCATAATTGTGTTTCATATTACTTTTAGCTAGGTGCACATCTTTTGCAGTTTCATATGGCTCGAATTACGTCTATAAAAACTTTTACTTGGACAAAAGCGTGACCCATAACATTCCAATATTACAATTGCACTAGCAATAATCCTCACCAAGCTATTGGGTTTCTTATGTACTAAAAGTCTTTCATTCAATACTGATAGTAAAGCATTGGTTGCCATTACAGGTTTAATAAACAGTATTTGAGAGAAGATATTAAACTTTGAAATTGACAGTGTGGAGACTATGCACAAAATGAGTAAATCATATCATTTGTGCACACTTGACCATGTCTGCGGAGTCATTGATCAGTTATTGTGATTTTCACTCTCACATGCTTTTCTTTGGGCTAGGGCATGAGGAGCTTAAATTTAGTATTAATATATAAAATTTATATATTTAGAAATATAATTATATTAAAAATACTATTAAACAAAAAAGTCAAATTAAAAAATAATTTAAAATTAAAATAAACTAAAGAATTGGTTTAACCAATGAATAATAAATATAACAGATAAAATATGACTGCAATTAGGTATATATAGAGGTGGCCTGTGGGGGTGGGATGCATGCACAAATACCCCATATATATATTGTTAGGCGGAGGCCCCTAAAAGATTAGTCCAGCAATTGCTGGTTGTGCAGTTAAGGTTGACAAGTGTCTGTAAAGGAAGGAAAAATTATTGGACGGAAGTTGGTAAAAAGTCAAATCTAGCACCCGGTGTCTTCTCGAAAATATGGCGGTAAGATATACATATATTATATATATAGGCATAGATACAAACAATGCAAGAAGCCGCCATCTGGGCCCCAAAACCCTGCCTCTTCAGTCTCCTACACACTTCACTGCACGCTGCTGGTGATGATCAGAACAGAACAGATCTGAGAACAGTATATATAGATGCTGACAAATTAAATGGAGGATCGGAGAAGAAAAGATGCTTAGCTTAACGTTTCCCTTTTCACGCCTACGGATCTGAGTGTCTTTAGTCCAACTTTCCCTAGTACTTCTACTTTAACCACCACACCCTCAATCCTGCAATGATGATGATGCTGATGCATGATGAGACCAGCTACCCACACTGCAACACCATGCTGTGTGCTCTGCCTATTCATCACTTCCAAATTTGCAGTAAATGACAACCTTAAATAATTTTTATTTTTTTAATATTAAACACTACCTCAGCTCTTCCTCGGTCTCTTCTTCTGGTCCTTCATTCTCAGCTGCATCGCATTTATTAACCCAACAGCTTGGGTTAGTTATTGCTAATGTTTATTTTTTCGAGAGAGTAGTTTATTGACCATTGTGATCCTTTAATTTATTGACTAGTATCACAAGGCTGGCTTCACCCATGCTGTACTTTTGAGTAGCAACTATGAATTTTTCCGTAAATAAAAAACTATTAATGATAAGAATGCCTCGAACCTTC